CCCCAAAACCCCAAAACCCCAAAACCCCAAAACCCCAAACTTTTCCATAAAATTGAAATGTTAAGAAAATAGCTGAAATAATGTAAGAAGGTGTAGGTTAAAATATCAATAAAAACTTATCAGCTTATTCTTTGTCTTCATCTGTATAAACCTCATCATCCTCAACCTCCTTTGATGCATTCGGCTTAGACTCGTCTTCAGGGGAGTCTGAACCATCCTCATCATCACCCTCATCCTCATCTTCTTCATCATCCTCTTCATCCTCATTCTCCAGATCATCATCACTCTGAGGCGTTACCTCATCATCTCCCTCACTATCATGATGCTCGACATCAATTTCATCATCGACTTCTTCAGCTTCTACAATTTCATCCATTCTCTGATTGCTCAGCTCTCCATTCTTATTAAAAACCAACTCAGTCACTGGCACTGAACTTTTCTTGGGAGGATTCTTGGTCTTCTTCACCTTCATCTTAACTCCCTGTCATACAAAGTCAAGGCCGCAAGCGTTCTTAGGGTTGTTCTCGACCACCTTCTTCCTTCATATTCACTGCCAATCCCCAGTGTCGACTTTGGACTTCTTTTTAGCGTAATGGTAATCTACAAGAACTTTTATTGTATCTTCCATCACTTTCTTGCAAAGATGCTCTGTGATCGTGGTACTGAACTCCATCGTTGGAGAAGAGTTCACCTCGAGAAGGTATGGGTTACAGTCTTCATCAACCATGAGGTCAAACCCGAATAGCTCATTACAGTAAGCAGTCTTGTTATTTTCATCAAACATATCCTGAACGGCTTCGCAAGTATATTTGACTATCTTTTGCATCTTTTTACGAAGGCCTCCTTCCTCCCAGACATCTTCGCCGTATTTTTCCTGGAGGTACTCTTGGAAGGTCTCGACTGTCCACATATTTCCTTCTCCCATTTCCACAGCGTTCTTGGCATATTTCGCGACAGAGTTATTTGTCAAATGAACAAATCTGTCATCTAAATTATTAGGATCATAATCTGCAGCTGGGAATCGGATATAAGGTTTGTTCCAGAACCAGATCACTAATGGGTTCCAACTAGTCACTAAGACCCATTGTCTGATATCAAACTTTCTTCCATGAATAATCATAGGATTTTCGATATATTTCTGAGCGACCCATTGCCCTTCACTATGTCAATTATCAAGGATCTCGACTAGAGAGGAAAATACTTCTATTCCTCTTCCTCGGGAGAGGCCTGCTGGCTTAACAATCCAAATATTATTAATACCATTCATGTCATACTGAACGAATTTGCTTTTAAGCCGTTCACAGATATCAAGTCATCTCTCCCTGAGCTCATCTTTGTCATCAATATCAATATCCTGGGTGAGTTCATCTTCCTTAATTTTCTTCTTCCTCTTAAGCTTTTTCTTCTTATCATCCTCAGACTTCTTCGAGCTCTGAGAGACTCGCCAGCGGTTCATCTTCTTTACCCAATCACTATGCTTCTTCTTTGAAAGCTTGGACTCATTTTGTTCGTCTTTGGATATGATTTCCCATTCTTCATCACTAACAAGACTTTTTGGAGGATTTTTCAGGTCTATTATATCATCAAGGTCAAGAAGCCTTCTTTCGCATACTTTCATAGCTGTTTTGAGCGACTCTTTGTCCACAGTTTCGATATCGCTTGCGTACTTTTTAACCAAGCATTCAGCCTTAATAGCTTTAAATTGTTCAATAAATTCTTCAAATTCATCTCTATCCTTCAGATCAAAGCACTGTGGGTAGAAAGAGTCAACATCAACGTTGTTGAACCAGACTAGATTCTTCAAGGAATGGCATAATCCTACTTTAGTAGTTATAGCTGCTGATTTGCAGAAATGATTAACAATCTGAAATTTCTCAAGAGTTGAATGATGTAGATCCTTTGCCCGGAGGGTCCATTTGAGATCAAATCAAGGACTTTTATGATCCTTGTTTTCATACCATCCTCTATCTGTGAGAGCTTTCCTGATAGTCCCATACCCTCCTTTGACTACAAAAACTTTAGTCTTTTTAGAGAGCCTATGTCTCTTTTTCCAAACATCAAAATCAGTGATATTAGTATGAATTTTCTTCTTTTTGCTATTTCTCTCCAAGAAATTTTGAATATCTTCACTATTCATTTTCCTTGTCTCTTTGACCTCCTCTTCAGCTTCTGGCTCCGCCTTTGGCTTTCTCTCAACATTTCCAAGCATATCTTTAACTTTGGCTCTGAGATTTTCTCTCATCTTCTCTTGTCTCTTGCGTTCTTCCTCCTCTTTAACATTTTCCTGCTTCTTATTTAGCTGCCAAAGAGTCTAGGTAATCTTGCTGTTTATTTTCTGATGCGTTCGTTAACTTCCTTGTTAACCTTCTTTTTCTCTTCGTTAATCTGGCTATCAACTTCTCTGGCCTGGGTTAGTTTAGTCCTAAATTTTAAGCAAATGGGTTTACATTAATCTATTTTCGCTACGTGGCTTTCCCCGACTCTGCTTCTCTTCTTCATTAGAAGCGGGGTTTGGAGGCTCTGACCTGAACCTGCTCTGAACGTTATCAATGCCGAACTTTTGAAGCATTTTAGCCTTGATTCGCTCTTCCTTCTGCTTTGCTTTCTCTTCCTCTTCTTTCTTCTTGATGTTATCTTCTTTTAAGGTTTTGAGAAAGGAAATGTATCGATTTTTGAAATACTTCTTTATTTTAGCATTTTCTTCTTTCTTCTCCTCATCTTCTACAATGTCAGCTTCTTGGAGGTCTTCATCAGGGTTAGCGGTCTGTTCAGGGTTATTTTTCGGTAAATTTTTCTTCTTTGAGGGTTTCGGGTTTAACTTTTCTTGTTCTTCTTCTAATTTCTTACGCTCTTCTTCTAATTTATTATGCTCTTCTTCCTCTTTAAGACGCTGTTCCTTCTTTCTACGATGCTCTTCTGCCCGTTTGAAGACCTATATTAAGGAATTAGATCTGAGGAAGAAGGAGCATTCAGAGCGGTAAAATTATAAAGAAGTTGACTTACAATTTTACGTAATTTCTCTCTTTCTTCTTGAGCTTTCTTACGTTCATTCTCGATCATTTCAGCCTCTTGAGCCTTCTTCTCTTGTAGTTTCTTAAGTCTCTCTAGATTTTTCTCAATGTAGTTATCAGCAGGTTTATCTCTTTTATTTTTAGCAGGCTCTGAATCATCTATTATATTACTATTATCTCTCAGAACTGTGTTTGTGTTCTTCTGCGCCTTTGGAGGAATCAGAGGCTTATACGTCCTCTGGTTCTGTCTCCCAACATTACTTGAAGAATGTTTTATAATAGGTGGCAATTCTGTGGAATTCTCATCAGCTCTTGAGGTTCTCTTCATCTGCTTTAACATCTTAATACTAGCAGGCTGATGTTGGACATATGGGTCCATCTTTCTCCATTTAGCACTAGAGGATCTATTATTTAGATATTTTTATGCTATTAGACCCCTTCTTGCTCCTTCTTCTGTTAAATTTGTTCTGGTTTTGTTCTATATACCCGTCTTGGACGAAAGCAAATTGGTTCTCGTCGATTATAAACTCTTGTGGCTTTTCTTCATCAGGAACTCTCGGAAGGATGCTCTGCTTAGTCTCTCCAGTGTCTATGTTCAACAAATTTGCTGGCACTGGCTCTTCTAATTCTTGGTCTGGATTATCCATCAGTCCGATCTAGGTAAAATGTTACGAATTGGTAACCAAAACTGACCGGAATGAGTACTAATGAATAACTTATGCGATAAATAAGTTCGAGACCTTTCTTCTTCTAATAGCTAGGATACTCTCAAATTTCAATTCGAAAATTTGTAAAATTTATGCTTAAAAGATATTTTAGGATCTCCTCTTCTAAAAAATTGAAAATTGGGTCTAGGCAATCCAGAAATTGGGGTTAAGGCGTTTATGTTAATAATTTTAGCTTTGTGAATGAGCAGTAACATAAATTTTAGAATTTATGAAGGAAATTTTTCAGTATTTTCGACTTGTTTTATGGAAAATAACGAAAATCTTTGGTTGAGAAAGAGTGAATAAAATTGTTACACTTCTGGTAATGATTTTAGTCAGTGTTTTTAATTTTAAAAGAAGTTAAAAAAATTTTCCTCGATTAAGATACTCCTTTAATCCTAATTCCCCTCAAAATCCCAATCTTCCAAAACATGCTCACATTATTAAACTTATCTGGCACAGTGTCTGATCACGCTAGATACTCACTAAGCAACCCTCCAACCGGCATTTCCCCTGTCTTCTCTATCTCTGGCTCCATAATTCAAACTTTATAATTTAAAATTTTTCAAAAATCCTTCTTCAAAGGGGTTTTGGGGTTTTGGGGTTTTGGGGTTTTGGGGTTTTGGGGTTTTTGGGG